CGGAGAGTCCCCCCACACACACCCCACCGACCCCTGCACCCCCAGCCCGGGCAGCGGGCCCAGGTGTCCGAGCCCCCGCTCCGCACCGGCCTGGCCGGGAGGAGGGTGGTGGATGAAAGGGAGTTCCCAGGCTGGAGGGTGGGGGGGACCTGGGGGGACCTCTGCCCCCCCTTGCTGTGCCCCCCACCAACTCCCTCGCTCCGCCCACTTCTACTAAGCCCCTCCCCCTGCCTCCAGCCCCGCCCACTCAGCACCCACCTTTGGGCCCCAGCCATGGGGCACGGGCACCCTCAGTCCCCTGGGCGTCCTGCCCTGTCCCCACCACGTCCTGTCCTCACCTCGGTCTGTCCTCACGGCGCCCTGTCCCTACAACGGCCTGTCCCTGCAGTGTCCTGCCCCCACAGTGACCTGTTGCCAGGATGCCCCATCCCTGTAGTACCCTGTCCCCATGGTGCCCTGTCCCCGTGCCACCCTGTCCCCACGACACCGCACCCCTGCCACGCTCCATCCCCACGGCGACCCGTCCCCACACTGACCCATCCCCACAACACCCYGTGGCCAAACCACCGTGTCCCTGCAGCGCCCCATGGCCAGGCCGCTCTGTCCCCACGCTGCTGGCAGTGCCAGGGGCCCCGTCCTTGTCACCGCGTGTGGAACACAGGCCGTGGGCTCCCCGCTCAGTGCGGCACTGGTGGGGGGGGGCGCTGAGGCAGCGCACGTCGCTCCCCCAAGCGCGCTGCTATTTTTACCCTGTGTGCGGGAGGCTGCGCTGCTGCATGGAGCTGCAGCCCCCGCGGCACGGGCACGGGCACGGGCGCCGTGCCCCCGCAGTGCCGCAGCCCGGGCGCACGTGGGGACGGCGACACRGGACGGCCGCGGGCACCTTGCCCTGCATGCCACCGGGGCCCGGCACGCGCGGCCAGCGGGCAGCCGCACGGCACACGCGTGCAACAGGCTGCCGCACACGCGTGCAACACGCGTGCGTGTGGCGTGTGCTGGGGAGGGGGCTCTGCCTGCACCGCGGGGTGCAGCCGTGGGTGGGGGGCAGCACAGGGAGGGCATCGCGGCCGCTCCCTGCACAGCGCTGGGAGCTGGGAAGGGCACCCAGTGACACCRGCAGCTTTGGCACCTGTTGCCATAACAACCTCAGGCACCGGCAGGTCCCGGGACACCCGCCCTGCCCTGTCCCGGCTCCCCGGCGGCCCTCAGGGACCAGGGCTGCCCTTGCAGCCCCTTGCAGGGTCCTTACGGTGCGTTGTTGCACGGGGCCGTGTTCGCTGTGCACCCCTCCGCGGAGCCCTGTTTGCCATGCAGARGACATGCAGAGCCATGTTTTGTCATGTAGACCCATGTCTTCATATGGAGACACATGTTTTCCCATGCAGATCCATATTTTTCCATGCAGAGCCACGTTTTTCCACAMAGAGCCACATTTCGCCTCGCAGAGCCCTATTTTGCCCCTCAGAGCCATGTTTTGCTGTGCAGAGCCATGTTTTTCCATGCAGAGCCCTGTTTTTTCCAGCCAGACCCGTGTTTTGCCGTGCAGAGCCATATTTCGCCCTGCAGACCCATGTTTCGCCCCACAGACCCTCGTTCCTCCAGCAGACCCGCGTTTTGCCGGTCAGGGCCACATCTTGCCGCTCTTCGCCCCGCCGTGCCCAGCAGGCACCCGGGTGGCCAGTGGCACGCTGCCACGCAGGTAAATATTTTGCCGGAGCGGCAGCTCCTGGCCCAGGGCCACCCGTAGCCGTTGCAGCACCTGCRGATCCGGGGGCCGGCGCCAGCCCCTGTTTCCGCGTCGGAGCCGGTTTCCGCAGGCCCGGGGCTGGTGGCCTTGGTGGCAGGGGACGCGGGGCAGAGTCCGGCACGTGCAGCACCGCGGTGGCACCGAGCGGGCCGGGCACTCGCCCTCCACTCCCTGGCTCTGCCCGAAGTTGAAAGGCAGCGTTAGAGGTGCCGCCCGGCACGGGGGGGCCGCTGCCCCCGCTTCCCGCTGGCTCCGTGCCGGACGCTTTGCCTTGATTGGAAACATCCGTGTTGGGAACAGYCACACAGAGCCCAGCCCCAGCTCAGGGGACACTTGGGGTCCCCCAGCAGCTCCGTCCCCATCCCGTGGGCAGCACCGCGGTGTCCCAAACCAGCCGGGGGAAGGGGGTTCTCCCACCCACCTCCCTCCCCGGGGGTCCCACTCCGACCTGTCCCGCTCAGTCCCAGGCCTGGGGGGCTTCCCTCGAGCTGGGGAAACTGAGGCAGGAGGGGGCGCCCGGCCCGGCGGCGCGCGGGTTAATCGGGCTCCCCGAGGGCTCATTAGCCACGGCCCCGGCCCCCCTGCCCGCGGGATGAATAATTCAGCGCGCTCGTAGGAGAGCGTCCTCCCTCCCCCCCGCTCCTTCCTCCTCCTCCTCCTCCTCGCGGCTCTGCCTTCCCCGGCGCCGCGTTCAGTCCGCGCCGCGCGAGCCCGGGCGCTGCCGAACCCCGCAGGGCCCCCCCGAAACCCTCGGCCATGGACCCCAAGGACCGCAAGAAGATCCAGTTCTCGGTGCCGGCGCCCCCCAGCCAGCTGGACCCCCGCGCCGTGGAGATGGTGAGAGCGCCGGCCCTCGCCGCGGCGTCGGGGCGGCCCCGGGCACCGGCGGTCGCGGCGGAGCAGGGGCTCGTGTCGTCCCCTCCGCTGCTTCCCCACGCGGCCCCGTCCCGGGGAGCGGGGGGCCCCGCGGGACACCGGACAGGGTGGGTGGGAGGGACATGGGGACGGAGGGGACAGGACTAGGGGAGTGGAGGGAATGGGGCTGGACTGGGGGACAGGGACAGGAAAAGAGTGCCAAGGTCTCCGTGAGAACCATGATCCCAGGGAAAGGTGCAGGGAGAGGACGGCTCGAAGGGACAGGAGGAAACAGGACAGGGGGGCTGGAGGGGATGGCACAGGGGGACAGGAGGGAGAAGCACAAGGGGGGACAGCGCGGGACGGTGCCCGGGCAGCGCTGCCGGGTGTGCGGCTGGGACAGCGCGCGGCYGGCTGCCACGGGGGCCGGGAAGGGCAGGGACAGCCTGTTCCTGTCCCCGTCCCCACGCGGATGTCCCGCTCACGCAGATCCGACGGCGGAGGCCCACGCCGGCCATGCTCTTCCAGCTCTCGGAGCACTCGTCCCCAGGTGAGCCACCCTGACCGTGCGGGGACGCGACGGGACGGGACACGGTGGCAGGGCACGTGCTGGGGACTGGCCTCGGCGGTGGGGATGTACATGGGGTGGGATGTGGTGGCAGGAAGGGGAGGTTGTGTCGCGTATGGGACAGGGTAGGGATGAGGCAGGGTGGCAGGGACACAATGTGGTGAAAGGGATGGGACACGGTGGCAGGAATGGGATGGGGTGGCAGGGATGGGATTTTGTGTCACATATGGGACAGAGTGGCAGGGATGGGACACAGCAGGAAGGACAGGGGGTCACAACAGCATTGGGACAGGGTGGTGGGCACAGGACACAGTGGCAGCAGCTCCCAGGGGCTGGCAAATCCCTGGGAATGGCAATGGGGGGAGGTGTCTGCCTGGTCCCAAAGGACCCCGGGCGTGCTGGGGGTCCCTGTCCCCGCTCACGGGCTCTCTCACACTCCATGTCCCGCAGAGGAGGAGACGCTGCCCTACCAGGTGAGCGGGCGCCGGGACGGCGCGGCCGCGGCGCCCGCCCGGGGTTATCGGCGGCCCCGTCCCGGGCTGGCCCGGGCGCTTATCACCTCCCCGGCGCCTCCGGCCCCGCACGGGCACCGAGYGAGGCCGGCACTGGGGCTTGGTGGCAGCGCAAACCCCTCTGGCACGGGGGGACTGCGCGGAGGACGTGGGTGCTGGGACAGCCTTGATGTCCTGGCCACCGCGTGGCCCCAGCCCCATGGTGTCCCCATGGCAGGATCCCCGTCACGGGGACSTCTTCAAGCAGATCCTCAAGGCTGGCTCCCCGTTGCAAGGTCCCCACCATGAAGATGTCCTCGGGATAGTCCTCAAGGCTGGGTCCCCTCCCCGAGTCCCCATCCCAGGGTCCCCAGTGGAGCTTCCCCATCCCAGAGTCCTCAATCGTGGGGTCCCCATCCCGGCACCCCCACCCTGCGGCACCGATCCCAACGTCCACATCCTGGGGTCCCCATCCCGGGTCCCCACGAGGAACTGCGGTCGCTGCCAGCGCGGGGCGGGGGGGGACACCTGGGACACCTTGTGACACCGGTGGCGGAGCCATCGGCACGTCGGGCGCGTGCCGACGCTGCACCCCGCTCGCAGCGAGGCTCCGGCGAGGGCTGCCTGCTCAAACCAAAGAGGACCAACCCGTGTGCCTACACGCCCCCCTCGCTCAAAGGTAGCGGGGCTGCGGGGGCAGCGCGGGGCTGGCGGGGGCGGCGCGGGCGCTGAGGGCACCGCGCGTCCCAGCCGTGCAGCGCATCGTGCAGTCCCACCTGGAGAGCGGCCTGGCCGGCGGGGACAGCTCCGACGGAGAGGCCGATGACGGAGAGCACGAGGTGGCCCATGCCGGCGAGCCCGGCGGCCTGGAGCCTGGTGAGAGCCACCGAGGCTGGGGCACGGGGCTGCCGGAGCCCCGGGGGACGTGGGCACATGGGGACAGGGCTGCCGGAGCCCCGGGGGACGTGGGCACATGGGCACGGGGCTGCCGGAGCCCCGGGGGACGTGGGCACATGGGGACAGGGATGCCGGAGCCCCGGGGGACGTGGGCACATGGGCACGGGGCTGCTGGAGCTGGTGGGATGAGGGGACATGGGGACAGGGCTGCTGGGGTCTGGGGACGTGGGGATGGGGCTCATGGAGTCCTCGTGTGTAGGGACATGGGCACGGGGCTGCTGGAGCCCAGGGGACATGGGGACACAGGGACTGGCCTGATGGAGCCTGGGCAAAGCGGGGGCACACGGACAAGTTTGTCCATGCCCAGAGGACAAGGGGATACAGGGAAGGGGCGGCYGGAGCTTGGGGAACACGGAGACGTGGCTGCTGGAGCCCGGGAGACACGGGGACACCGGGAAGGAGCTGCTGGACCCTGCGGGATGTGGGAAGGGGCCACACGGGGACAGGGGCGCGGAGGCCGCGGGGCTGGGCGGCGCCGGCCAGAGGGGGGTCCCGGGCGGCAGCCCCCGTGCCGGGAGCCGCCGCCGCCGTCTCACGGGCGCCTCCGCGAAGCCGCGGGCAGCCAGGCCCGGCCCGAGCCGCGGCTCTTCCCCGCCGGCCCCAAGGGCCACAAGCGCAGAGGTACCGGCGGCGCCGGGGGCGGGGGGCGGCCGGGGGGGTCCCCGCGCGCCCGTCCCCACGCGGCCTCGGCGCCGCCAGGGGGGCAGAAAGTTTCCTTCGCCGGCGGCTTCGACGAGCGCGACGAGGACCTGAAGTCGCTCGCGGTGACCGAGATCCCCGAGGACCCCGAAGGCGGCGGCAGCGACGACGAGGAGCGGGAGACGGGGGAGCCCAGTAGGGCCGGTACGGAGAGGGAGCGGGGGCGGAACCGGGAGCGGGGGCGGAACCGGGAGTGGGGATGGAACTGGGAGATGGGCCGGAGCCGGGAGCGGGGCTGGAACGGGGAATGGGGCTGGAACCAGGAGCGGGGCCGGAACCGGGAATGGGGCTGGAGCCCGGGCAGAACCGGGAGCGGGACTGCAACCGGAACCAGGAGCGGGTCCGGAACCGGGAGTGGGGATGGAACTGGGAGGGGGGCCGGAGCCGGGAGCGGGGGCAGAACGGGGAGCGGGGCTGGAACCGGGAATGGGGCTGGAGCCGGGAGCGGGGCTGGAGCCGGGAGTGGGGCCGGAGCCGGGAGCGGGGCTGGAGCCGGGAGCGGGGCTGGAGCCGGGAGTGGGGCCGGAGCCGGGAGCGGGGCCGGAGCCGGGAGCGGGGCTGGAGCCGGGAGCGGGGCCGGAGCCGGGAGCGGGGCCGGAGCCGGGAG